GGACGGTTGTCAGAGTGGCCCCAGTTCCTCTCTGTGGATGGCATTTATCACAATGATGTTTACTCCTCTGTGCGCCTCCTCCTTGGCATCCCAAGGGCTTGAGTCGGGTGTGAGCGCCCTGTCCAGGGGAGGACAGTGAGGCCCACGGCCAGTACTGGGCTGATGGGGGCCCTGCGCATCCCTGGCCGGGGCACTTCCACCGCTGCAGGCATCGGCATCTCTAGTTCTGGTTGCTCTGGGACAGTAACGCCCTGTGAGGTCAGAGGTTTGAGGTGATGATGTCACCTCCAGCATGGTCCCCTGGAGATTGTGATGCTTCATTTCTCACCTCCTGGCCAGCTCTGAGTTCAGCCTCCAGCCCCTGAGGACCATCCCCACACCTCATCTTGCCAGGAGGAGGAGGAAAAAGCCACTAGAAGGTCCCAGGAACGCAGCGGCAGAGGAGGTGGGGCTAAGCTGGGAACTCCCATGCTTGGTCCAGGTGCATCACCTCCTGCCAAGGTGTGTGCTCACCTGCCCACAGAGGGACACTCCAGGACCTAGGCAGGCTAGGAATGGAGATGTCAGTGTCGGGAAATGACTGAGGAGCATCGCCAGGCCACACCCTCTTCATGTCCTCCCAGGCTCTAAATATAGATCACAGCAGACATACGGGGTGACCTCCACCTGCCCAGCACCAGGCGAGAGGTTTTCTATCAGGGCTGACCTGCGTCTGGGTGCTTGGCTGTTGTTCCTTCCGGCCTTGGCCGAGCCCATGCTGGACGAGGTGAGGGCCCAGGTCTGTGGTCGCCCAGATATCGCCTGGTGCCCAGTTCTTGCTCTGAGCTGCTGTGTGCCTGGCAGTCCCCAGCACTGCATCCCGGGCACCAAGCCCATTCCCTGGGACCCTGCGCAAAGGCAGGCCTGGGTCCTTATTCGAACGTCCACCGGGGCGACATTTATGAACCTCTTGTCATTGTACTTGGCAAGGGGTGGGTGGAAGGGGAAAGCGCTGGCCAGGCCGAAGGGACACCACAAACAAAGGCCCAGAGAAGGGAAGGCTTGAGGCGCTGGAGGCTGGCGGCAGTGCTGGTACGAGGGCCTTGGCGTGTCGGCCGGGCCGCAGGAAGCTGCTGCGTGTCTGGGGACCGGCGATGGTGTGGGGCAGGCAGAGAAGGGACCACAGAGATTTGACCTGAGCATCCCTTTCCTTACACCGCAGACGGCTGCTCGGGGGGCTAGGGAGTGATGTAAGGTGCCCAGGGCATCTGTGGCAAACCGGAGCACGTGCCCCGGCTAAAGGGGACCGCTGCCGGTCAGCTCCCACCCAGCCCCGGCGGACGCGGGAACGCAGACCCAGTGTGGTCAGGTCATCCAGAGTTACAGGAGAAGCCGGAAATGTGGATTTTTATATGAAATCACCTGACCTTTTCCTGTTGGCTCAAAAATTTGAAAACACTTTGCAAGCCAAACAAAACACACGTGTGGGCTGGATTTGGCTTCCAGCTGTCAGTTCACAGCCTGCCTTTTAGAGTTCCTCTGTGAGTAACATCCCAACTTCCGAGAGGTCTGTACAGTGTTGTTCTTGGGGGCCTGTTGTAGCCCCCATGGAAGGGCAGACGCACTTCCCAGGGGAAGGTTAGGTACCTGGGAGGGCTGGGGCAGGGGGTGGGGGTGGGGTGCTGGGGACAGGAGGAGGGAGGAAGGGAGAGACACCGAGTCATAATAACCCCCCACTTCCTGGGGTCGCTTTGTGCTCCAGGATTCCTGTACCTCCCAGCAGACCTTCCAAGTGCTAAGCACAAGGGTTATCATTAGCCTGGAGCTTCAGACTCACTCCCAGTCACTGGGGCTGCCCCAGCCTCCTCTCACAGCCCTGTCTGGGCGTCAGGACTGGGTTTCCCAACAGCCCACTGCCTCAGCCCCCAAAGTGGAGCCCCCAGCCCCTTTTGTTGTGCGGATGCCAGGTAAGCACAGAACAGGGAAATGGAAAACCTGGCCAGGTGTCACTGCCTTCCCTCCAGGGTGCTGGGATCCTCAGGCGCATGAGAGAATGAGTCTTACTTAAAGTGTGTTGTGTCCTTTTTCTTCTTACAACTTTTATTATGGATAATTCTAAATAGACACAAAAATATAGAAAATGGCATAAAGACCCCCAGCTTTAAGGATCATCAGCGGAGGGCCACTCTCATTTCACCTCTTACTGCCCCACTTCCCAGCCTCCCGGGGGATGATGTTTACACAAATCCGGGCACATCGATCTGTCCACAAATAGCCAATATGTAATTCTAATAGTAACCACAACGCCATTGTCACACCTAAAAAAATTGTGTCCAATGTCATCAAATATCCAGTAGTGTTCATATAATCTCAAGTGTCTTATAGTTATTTTTTTAAACAGTTGCCTTGTTCAAATCATCATGCAAAATCCACACATTGCATCTGGTTGATGTCTCTCACCCTTCTCTTAAGCTACAGCTTCCCCTTTATTTTTCCCCCTGAGATGTATTTGTTGGAGAAACCAGGTGGTTTGTCCTATAGAGGAGAGGCTCCCACAGCCTGGAATTTGTGGGTCACATCCTCGTGGTGTGTTGAACACATTCCCCTGTCCCCTGGTATTCCCCTAGGTGGTAATTACATGCAGAGGCCTGGTTGGATTTAGGTTTGGGTTCTGGTGAGAACACTTTGTGAGTGGCGCTGTGTTCTTCCATTAAGTGACACGTGTTGTCCTCATCTCCTGGGATGGCCTTACCCTGAGTAAGGGATCTCCCCATAGCTTGGGGGGAGGATTTCAAGAGAGGGCGCATGAGGCCTCCGGAAGGGGCCTTGCATGCAGGTGGTGTCCAGTGGATCTGAACCCCTGTTGCTGACAGTGTGGGCAGAGCCTCAGGCCCACCTGATCTGGGGGTGCCAAGCACTGCGACCTGTGCAGGGTGCTTTACCTGTGCTGTCTCATTAGCAAAGGAGAAAAGTGTGCCTTGGACACCTGCCTGGCCTGGGGGGAAGGGAGGGGGCCCTAGAGTAAGAAAGGGGTAGGGCTGGGCTGCCCTGAGAACTGGGGGGTGTGTCTGTGTGTGTGTGTGTGCATGTGTGCGCCCTCACACGCGTGCAGAGACAGAGTGGTGAGCAGGCTTGCCAGGAGCCGGGAGGGAAGCCCCAAAGCGGGGTGAACAAGCAGGAAGGGGAACTTTGTAAAAGCAGACAGACATCAACCAGAGGGACTGGTTAAGTAAATGACGGGGACCCCTGCCATGTAGGTGCCATCCAGGTAGTCGGGTGGGAGGCAGCCTGGCCTGCTGTGTCTGGGGGTGCAGTGTGATAAACGCTTCACCTCTCCAGCATCCTGGGGCCCCACCCACCACCACTCCGGCACTGTGGACCGTCAAGGTCAGAGAGGTGGTGACTCCTCTGCGTTCTCATGACCCACTTGCCCTCCATGGGCTTCCTCCTGCTGTAAAGCTTGCTCCTGGCCCAGCTCTCTGAGGACGAGATAGCAGAGAAAGGAGATAAAGTCTGTGGGAGACAGGGTGGTGCTGGATTCTGAATTCCTGGCGGCACTGAGAGCTTGGCCCCTGGATGGGAGGAGAAGCTTAGAGCCAGAGGGCAGTGTCCAGGTCACCCCTTCGTGGCCCTGTGGGGACCTCCTCCCTCTAAAGGTGCCCCACCCACCCCACCCTCCCTGGTGGCAGAGCTTGGAGGCTTCCCAAACAGCCTCAAGGGATCACCACCCCAAACCATATCTACCCATCTTGCTTTTTTTAAAAAAAACAAGAACAGCATTGGTTACATATACCTAATTCTAAAAATATTGATTTTAGAAAAATTAGAAAATTCAGAGAAGTAAAATGAAAAAATGTATAGCACACCCAGCAGTAAGCACTGTGACTTTTGTGAAGTAGGTTCTGGTCGTGTGCCTGTGTGGGGGTCTGGTCCTACAGGTATGCCCTGCACCCTGGCTTCCTCGCTTCTCAGGCAGAAGCACCGCGCACGGTGTCTGAGGCTTGGCCGCCGTAGGAGCGCAAGATACACTTGTGGAGTGTGTGGTCGCGTCCTGCCCTCTGTTTACAGGCGGGGAAACTGAGGGCCCGTGGTATGAGACCAGACCTGGGGAGGTTGGTGGCATTGCCAGGGCTGCTGCCGGCGATCTCCAGCCTCCGAGGCCAGGGCAGGCCTCCGC